GTGAGCTTCTTGATCATCCTCCCTCCTCCCCTTCACTGTGCGAGTCGCAGCCATGCAGCTGCGGGGTAGGATAAGCCCAAGTTTACTCTTTTCGGCATAGCTCTTGTGAATAGTACGTGTTCAGGAGATTCTACACCTTCGCTGATGACTAACCTTTCTATACGCTCTCCTCTTCTATCTTGCGTGTATACCTAGTCGTGATCGACAAATCACAAGACCGTTGCGTATATGGAAAGTATGAGATGACGAGGAGATTGCAGGGGTGTGGAAAGTTCGGATAAGGAGATGCAACAAATGTTTGAGGTTGTTGAGAAGGCTATGGAAGGCTGGTCGTTATTACGCTTTCGGTGGACACTGGTAGAGGGGAGTTACCAGATTCGCCGGCTTTGTTATCCCAATTTCTTCTTCTCGGATCTATAGCCTTCTTAATGAAAGGCTGCAGTGATGGTGGCGGGCAATGCTAGCCTACATTGCGGAGACGGTTGCATAGATTGAATGTGCGTGACATTGGCACTGACATCTATTCATTGTTTCTATCTACTTACATGCATCCTAATTTCTCCATGAGATCTAAAGGCTTGTTGGTATATCGCTATTCGCAAAGGAGGGCCATCTACGCGATGACCAAAAGACTTTTGTTGTGGAAACGAAATGTACATGTCCCAAGAGTATCGAGGCTACGCCCGCATAGCCAAGCGCTCGTGGCCTGCTATTAGAAAAGGTTGTGTTAAAAAACCCGAGGGGCGATTTGTGATCAAGCGTCCTCGAGACAGCACTTGTTTAACGAGGTGTTGAAGCAAGTAATCGACCAAGACTGCCACTAGCGAATGATGGCTCAGGAACTGGTGACTTGGCGTAGAAGATCTCGCCTTCAATTGTACTAGCAGACGTCCTTGATATGGAAGCCGCCGATTTGTGCGAATAGGACTTTGGACTCGATGGAGCCGTCACTGGGGTAACGAGGTCAATTGATTTGGCTCCGTAAGACCCACTATGCGACGGCTTAGTCCTGGGTGGAAGAGGTCGCGTAGTGGCGGGCGTGTATGGCAGCGAGTAGCTCACTGACGAGGCTGGGGTGTGTGACAGCGAGGGGGCGGCGCTAAAGCTGATTTGTGAAGTAGAGCTACGGCTGTAGCGCGGTCGAACGGTATCGGGGAAGTAGGCAGGCGATTGGAATTTGCGGAGATATTTTGATGCCTCCGAGTCGAAACGCTGACACCGGTCGACGCTGTTATCGTCTGACGAGATGTCGGAGAAGGCACATGACGAGCGTTTTGACTCAGGCTGAGTGGGGGAGCGCTGAGGTACAATGTCGCGAAAGGCAAACTCGTCGAACGTGAAGTTGGCAAATGGCGTAGTTGGCGGTAAGTAATGATCGTATGAATAGGTAAGGCTCTTCTCGGTGTCCTTTTTCTTGCAGCTACGTGTGCATGTCAGTAGGTGGCCTGTGCATCATAGAGTGGGTGTGGGCCATACCTTTCCGAGCAATAGAGCACAGAGTTACTGGGAACAATAATTTGCTTCTCGCAGACGGTGCTGCAACACAAGATTAGTGCGCAGTCGCGAGGACTCGGATGACGACAACATACCAGTAGTTCAAAAAACTCACGGCCATTGAGTCCTCGTCCTCGTCGGATGCAGTCTCTTTGTAATGAACGGCTTTGGAGGCGGCTTTGGTGCCGTGGGACTGGGTCCGCTTTGACAGAGGCCTAGAGGGCCGTGCGTGCGCTGGCTGCGACTTTTTGGATTGATGAGACGGGTGACGAACGTGATGTGTGGCCATGATGGATGCAGAAGAACTTTAAAAGCCTCACTGTGGTAATCGCGCACGGTGCACGGTGCACGATGTCGTTACAGGGCTGGAAGTAGGGCAGCAAAGAAGCGGTGACACAGGCCGCCGAGTACCAGCTGCTGATATGACGGAAGGTTCGTGCGTGGCTTTGTTTAGGATCCTTATCGCTTGGGTTCTGCGCCAACGTCTTAGCCAGGAACACGATAGTGCGTGTCTAGATCGTGACGATGTACAAGAAGGGGCCTTGATCGATCGACGAGGTTGAGAGGCGACACCAAGAAGCCAGGAGAACGAGCTTACTTCAACAGACACGGGACGTGCGACGTCGGAAGGAAGGAAGGAAGGATAGAGTGCAGTATAGTTCCGGGAACGATGCGCGGGTTGGGCTGGGCTGGGGTGCGCGGCGATAAGCAGCAGTTCGTGAGAGACAGCAAAGCCGAGTATTTCCACGGGGCAGGCGGCTTTCAGCGGCAGGATAACAAGCTATGTATCCGAGATCGATAGCAAGAGGAGTGCGGGATTGCGGTCAATAAGTAATTACGAGACCGGCGCCTGCGAGTACCTGAGGGCAGTTCTAGAACATGGTTGACGACGACGGCCTAGATATGCGGTCGGGATATGGTTGCGCGTGTGGGGATGATTCGTGATAGCCATCACGATGGAGCCATTGAGATCATCTAGCACGCCATAGCGGCACCCGCTGCCCGCTGACTCCTCCCTACTACCCCCCACTCGCATCCACCACGGTGCCTTGCTACAACTCAATCTTTGCCGGTGTAGCCACGGCGGGGAAGCCTGGCCAGAGTGCATCCTTTCGCCGTTGCAGCGCTGTGCATGGAAACGTCGCAGCCGTCGTGTTGCAGCGAATTGCGGGCCGAGCATGCACACGGGAAGACCACCAAAGGTCCACGTTCTTGTGCAACTCGGTGCGACTCGCAGCGGGCACCATCACTACACACCACTGCCCACTCGGGTGCGAGCTCTCTCAACACAATGAAGCCATATTGCGTATCTATCACAGCCTTCCGTTCGGTAACAGGGCGCGGCTCCTCTTTCGCAATCGACTCACCACGCCTTAGTCGGGCTTTGAACAGCTTTTTTCGCGGCTTCATCCAGCTCACCAGTCGGCTTGCGAGCCGCTATACATAGAGTGTGTTCCTTGCCGATAATTCGCATCTCTGAAGCACTCCGGTTGAGTGACTTTTGACTGTGCATAACTAGATGCGGGTCCATTGTCTACTCGCGTAACTCTATCCTAGCGGCCGCGCAACAAAAGAGCCAACCGGGTCTTCAGAAGGGCCTTCACCGTCTCGAACATGGTGAATCACCAGAAAATCTCTTAGGCTTCAAAATACACACCTTTCTTTATGCTGCAGTCCGCCACCATCAGCGTCTATGTACCTTCATATGTCGGTCAAGAGTTTTCTCTCTCGACACCTTGGTCTCAAACAGAAAACGGATCGTCCATGTATCGCCCTCTAGTGACACGCCACAGTTGGATCGGGGTCGAAGTTGGATAAAACGGCCCTTTCTGTTGGTGTTCAGGCACCGGTGGGCAATCAACCTGCTCGAAGCTGAAACGGTTCCGCCCTACCCCACAAAAGTCAGCAACAACTCGCCCGATGTCGTAACATGGCCAGGAAAACAAGACGTGGAGAGACCCACTACACGCGTTCAGAAAGGTCTCGAACGTTTCTTCGTTGCGAATCGTCGCAGATATCAGAGCTTCGAGCGCTGGGTTCAAGTAGAAGAATTCTCCCAGAGTCGAGACCAATCGCGGAATGACGGACTTGTCGTATGTCTGCGACGTTGTCAGATCCACTTCTCCACGAGACTGCAATGACGATGACTTACGACGTCTGCTCCCACTACAACATCTGGTACGCTCATGCCATAGTCTTCGGGAAAGGTCGCTGCGTCAATGGGATGGCCCCACCTCAGCGCGGCTGTCCGCACTTGAATCCGGGACGTGTCATCGACATCAAGTCCGTTGAGAAAAAGATTTGTTCTGATGGCATCGACAACAGCCTCGTCGCCATCTGTGGCAACCACGCCGGTCGCCCCCAAGTGCTTCGCGCAAAGAATGGACAGCATTCCAGTTCCTGCGCCAAGTTCAAACAATCTCTTCCCGGATACAAACGGTCGGCCAGCCTCGGACGCGAGATGCGACCCGAGTAGCAAGGCGGCTTCCCAAGTTCTGAGACCAGTCGTTCCAGACGAGGAGATGACGGATCGCGCTTCAAGTAGCGTTACCGTACGTTCGTGCGTTACGCTATCATCGATTGAATGATGGGGGTAAGAGTACGTCACGAATGCTTTTTGCTGAGCTGCATCGGCTTCGGAGGGCAGATCAGCAACAAGCAGAATAGTCATCGCTTCCATAATGTCATCTGAGATTTCCTATAATTGGGACGAAGAGAAAGGTCAGCAAGTGCTGCATGAAATCTTTGCGATTGCAAGATGATTATTATGACTTGATAGATGGCTGGCTACAGCGAAGGCAAAGCCATGGTGAGGAGATAGGAGACCATACATCCTCCTCCGGGTCGGTGATCGACCTCTCGAGTTTTGCGACAAGTTGTTTGAGAATCCTCAACCGATAGCGGTCCGGGGGTAGTGATGTGATATTGGCTGCATCGAACAGATTGTGGAAGAGCCACACTTGTACGTTTGGCGCTTTTAGTATCGCATCATCTGGCCATCTTAATTGGTGTGGTTCGACCAGCTGGAAATACTGGCGTTGCAAGATAAGTAGCTGCGGTAGGTTGGATGGAGCGTCCATGGAAGCGACAATAGTTTTTGTTCGGCACGTAAGCTAGAACATTTCAATGTGTCTCAGCCTCCCTAGTCGTGCAGCCTAGCTGTATGTTCTGATTTTGACGAGGGGAAAGAACATCCAAGCACGCATCTGCTTACGTAACTTTGTAGCGGGGCGCCTTGGCAGACTAAGCGAGGCGCACTGCCGACCGCCGACACGACGCAGCAAATTCGACATCTCCATCTTGCCGCCAGCTAACCACAGGTAATCGACAACAGCAAGATCGATCTCTGTCCAGTACGTCCATTGCAGACCCAAGCCCGCCCTATTGTACTTGTGACTCACGGCTAATTGTCGTGTTGCAGGTCGAATCCTTCCAACATGGCCGACTCTCAAGTTACTCTGCGCACGCGCAAGTTCATCCGCAACCCTCTCCTCGGACGTCGTCAGATGGTCGTGTAAGTGCAGGAAACACCGAGCACACAGTTGCGGGGGATTGAGTCTGACGGGAATACTACAGCGATGTCCTTCACCCCAACCGCGCAAACGTTTCCAAGGACGAACTCCGTGGCAAGCTCGGTGAGCTGTACAAGGCCAAGAAGGACGATGTCTCCGTATTCGGTTTCAAGACACACTTTGGTGGCGGCAAGAGCACCGGCTTCGCTCTTATCTATGACAGCGCCGAAGCCATGAAGAAGTTCGAGCCCCGCTACAGGCTAGTACGCTACGGCATGGCCACCAAGGTCGAGAAGGCCAGCAGGCAGCAGCGTACGTCTTCCCTGCGTCTATGCATGGTGTCGCAATTATGGCGATGGATCTGCATGTCGATACATGACACATACTGACTGGACAACAGGCAAGCAGCGCAAGAACAGGATGAAGGAGTTCCGGGGCACAGCCAAGTCCAAGGGCGGTGCGAAGAAGGACAAGAAATAAGCGGGTGCACACTGATGATGACTACGAAGGTCATGGCTGGAGTCGAGTGGCGGTTTCTCTACAACTACTGGTTCGCCTGGTTCTTCCTCACGGTGGATACGGAGTTGCTTCTGCGGGCATCGGCATGTATATCTACGAGCGCCTGTAAAACTCTTGCGGATGGGAACGACAAGACGGATGGCGTTTGAGATCAATTGTCTGCTAACCATCAATGCATATCATGGACTTTACGATCCCCCAACTATTTTGCCACTCACCCGATTTCCACATGGTTTACCCCGGCCACTGCCAATCCTATGTGTCTACGAACGGATACAGATGACCTCTTTGAGACTATCAAACCTGTGTCATGACTTGCGGCCATGAGGAGATGACTTTACTCTATATCTTGCACAGTCACTAGCCACCAGTCAGACCGTCGTCCTCGCTGCCTGCGCATCACCCGTCCTGTTTGATCCAATCCTCGCAGAGCAACCGTGTTTATCCCTGGCCTTCCTCCACCCCTTACCCCTAATGCCTTCCGTACTCATGATCGCTGTCGCGTTTCCTTCCAAGTCCTTATCCCTGTCCTTTTCCAAACCCTCAAATCCATGAGCAGCATACTATCCAACGTTCGAAGCGACCTGTGTCCCTGAATCTCGTTGCCGAGTTCGCAATTGTTGAAGCCGTGTAGAAGAGCAAGAAGGCCTGATTGGGGGATCCGTGGACAAGTAAATTTCAGGCGATGTAAGACAGCAACAGCACACATTGACTAGAAGTAGGGTGTAGATGGTTAGCGTAACAAAGGGGAAGATATTAAGGCTGCTGGAGCTCTCTTATGTAGAATTGCGTTGAGCTCTGTTTCACAGTATCGTCCATGGAGCTATCTTGTCGTATAAAACCACCCTGGCAGCTGGCATTCTCATGCTCAGACATCACTGTCCTTGTCATATGTGTAGAGTGATCTCAGAATGCTCTCCTATCAGCACGCTCAACGAGCGCATCTAAGGGAACATTTCCACAATAAGCTGGTGATTGAAGTTCGACGAAGCTACGTTGTAGTTCTGAGTAGTTGTACATGGTAAAGCAAACGACTGTTATTATACTTTGAATTACTACTCGCCATATTCAATACAGGTGCGCAATCGCTCAAAGGATGCATCGCCAGGTGTACACAGACAGACATGGCACGCGCCATCACTGCTCTCGGGCTTCAAAGTCCTCAGATCTCCTGGGGTATTCTTCTGAGGGCTGTGGCGCAATATTCTCAACTTCGGCTTTAGCTTCTTCCCAAGCCGCCTTGTTTCGTTTCGCCCAATCGATATGGCATTGAGCGAACTCCATCTGCAGTTGTTCTTAGCGGCTTTCAAGAGCACTAGGTAAAGACCGAGACATACCATGTAACGCCGTAAATCGTCCTCCTTTTCGCTCTGGAATCGTCGCAGGTCCTTCATCACACCCGCACTTGCGTCTTTGGTGTCTTTCTCGGCCACAGTCAGCGCTTGTTCGAGCTGCGTAATGGTCAGTATCTCCAAGTGTCTTCACAAATGACATATTAAGCCTACCTGTACCATACTATCCCGTGTCTTGCCGATCTGATCTCTTCGAGTCTTTTCAGGATCTACGTCTGCCATACCCCTGAAAGCATGTGTAATGGACCCAAACAGCTTGTTGGTGACGAAATTCCCACTTGCAGTCTTCTTGTGCGGGCTACTAGGCGGTGACTGATTATCAGGTGCGCCCTGTGCGCTGGATGGTGTGTCGCCATGTGTAGGTGGGAAGTCGGAATCAATCGACGCCCTATCCTCGTCCGATCTACGTGGTTGCTCCGCCTCGCCGATGCTTCGGTGTGAGCTGTTGGAAGCAGCGCGACTTCGGGCAGGTTGATGGCCGACGCCACTCAGATGTTGTTCTAATCGTTTCGACTCTGCTTCACTGCGTTCGAGGGATTCGAGTAGATTGCGCTTCTTCTCAAGTTCGTCCTTTGTCATGTCCTCCTGTATCCGCTTGAGCACTCGATATCTCAAGGTAGAACGTACGATGCCGGCAAATTGCGCGCTCTCACGCATAGGCTCCGAGAAGCCTGCGCTGAGAGACGAAGAGAGTTCGGTCGTCGCAATGTACGTAGAGTCGACAGCTTGTCCCGTCTTTTCAATGGCTGCAGCGAGAGACTGCGTCTGTTCAGATAGCGAAAAGGCATTGAATCGAGCGCCAAGATCTGCCATGTCCTCTCCCCAATTGCCCAGGTGCATGAGCAGTCGTCTGTTGACCTTCTCCATTGGTCCTTGCAGCAGGTGTTCTAGGTCTTTGGACGAGTTCTCGAAGCTAACAAAGTATGGATCCAACTCCTCTTCCGACATATTGCGCGTCTCAGGAGGGAAACGACCGAAAATGGCAGGACCCGGTGTCGTATGCGCGGCTGCTGAAGGTAGGGCTGCGTTGTTGGCTGGTGAGACAGGAGTACCCGAGCTAGATATGGTACCGCCCGACTTCAATTTGGCGGAAGACGAGGGGACTGGAAGGTAGCTGTGGGCTTGGGAAGGGTTCGCGGCATCGAGTGGAGGTGCTTTGAGGATCTGTTTGGGGATATTGGAAACAGGCGGGCTGTTGAGTACGTCTGCCTACAGGAGCAAGTCAGTTGAAGGGGTTGGTATCTACAAGAGAACGAAGCCTACCCAACTTGTGTAGGGATCGAGGAACCGCCAGAAGACGCCATCTTGTAGTATATCCTGCATCTTCCTACACCTGTTAAGGAAGACAGCCAGCATGCGCTTCCGCAGCTCTATTATGCCGGCATCCTCCTTCGCCTTTGTCGGCTTGGCGGCGTAGTCGGCCATGGTATGCTTCTCGGGGATGGGAGGTACGATGAGCGTGGGGTGAAGTCTGACCAGTTCGGCGCGCAGGGATGCAAATTCAGAGTATCGGCGCTTGACTTCGAGGCCCTGTCCATGTGTCAGCTGCGCGGCTCCCCAGCAGCCTGGCTAACATACACCGCAGTTGATGGTGTACTGGATGTAGTTCACACCGTCCTTGCCCGCGCTCGTGATCAAGACGAGTTGCTCGGGGTGCTCGTACAGCCATTGTTCCACGCGCGCATCGTACCCGCCCTTCTTAGGCGCCTTTGGGTCTGCGTGGTCTTGGTCCTGCTCGTTGTAGTCGACGTCGCTCATGTCGCGCTGAGAGACATACTCGGGCGACTCTTGTGCGGGCGACGACGCCTCCGAGGGCGGCGTCGCGGGGCGGTACGGCACTTGGTCATGTCAGCTAGTGATGCTGGCGGTTGCTTCAGACAGTAGGTAGAAGCCTTACGGGCAGCGGGCGACGCTAGCCCAGGAATATCGGACGTGTTGGAGTCATGGCGGGCAAAGGATCCATACGGATTGTTGTCCTCGTCGTCCCACATGTCGGCGGTGGTGGTGGTGGTGGTGTAGTCGTCGCGCTCACTGGGCGGAACAATGGTAGCGCCTGTTGGTACAACGAGCAGAGTCAGGCAGCACCAAGCGTCGACGTTGAGATGTTTGCCTTGGACATGGTGAAGCTCCCACGCTCTCCCGGCAGTGGCAGTGACGTTGCGCGTGGTCCAAGCTTGTCGACCAGCCACACCTCCGGCTGCATGCACGACGCCCCGCCACGTCACGTTACACTTGCTTACTCACAGCTATGTCATGGAATTAACAGACAAACCCTTTGCTATCCGCAGCGCCGTGCTGCGTCTCATGCACTTCTTCGCCTTCCCGTACGCCCGTGATAGTTCCTACATTCTCGTCGTCGAAGAAACCTTCGTTCGCTGCCAACGCTTCAAACCCCAGCTCTCCCCCTGCCCCTCGAGGCACCATTTTCACCGGCCAGATGAGGCACAAGCTGTAATAAACCAAGCCGCCCATGAACAGAGATAGTAGAAAGCCAAGCTTGTACATATTCTTGCTAGCCTCGGCGACAGAATCAGCATCCAAAGACCCCGCGACGCCATGGACCGTGAAGGCAACCCCAGCTGTCCACGCAGCCAGCATGCGCATATTCCAGCCTTTGCAGTACGAGTACGGGCTTTCGGATGCAGTCGTGTACAATGAGGGAACATGCAAGTTACCCTTTCGAACGAGCCAGTAGTCGACAATCATGCACGCGCAGATCGGCATCAGAAATACAGTGTAACTTCCGAGGAACGTCAAGAACGCAGTCGCCGAGGCGATAATCTTCCATGGAACAAGTAAGGGTGCCAGAATCGCGCAGAGTACCTGGCCCCGCACAATGGTCAACCATCGAGGGAAGATTCCTGTAAGATCGGCACCAACGGGAAGCGAGTTGCTTCCTGCATTGGTGACAAGTACAGCGAGCATCATACCGAAAGACGCAAATACTATCCCTGCTCTAGCTCCAGCAGTCCAATATTGATCCAAGATGGCGTCGTAGAGATCCCATACGTTCCAATAGCTTTGGCCGAGGACTTGTGTAGCGGCTGCAGTCGTTGCGGTACTCAGGAACATGACCAGTACTTTACTGGTAAGAATACCGAAGCCCTGGCTCCATGTCACATCGCCGTAGGAATGTCCGTATCGCGCTATATCAGGCTGATTGATAAGCACTGGCGCCAGAGCGCCCATAACGGAATTGATGGCTTGTATTATGGGCCAGATCAGAGCTGAGCCCGAGAGCTGAGTCTGCTTGGTCGTGTACGTAAAACTTCCAATTTTGCCCCCATTGGCACTGATTACCCAAGCGAGCACCCCGAAGAGTGCAATCGTTGTGTAGACAGCTTTGACAACAAAGAGGTGTCGAAGTACCGTGGGGTGAATGAACATGACTGGTAGTTGCGCCTAAAGATGAGTTTTCGAAGTCAGTATTTGTCTCACATACAGTTCGTACATGGACATCACTAACCTATTAATTTTAGCATACTCAGTCGGCCTTGGACTTGAACGAGAGAAAGGTG